CATGTTGTTCTGCTTGCGACATTTTACTATTGGTACACGGTGACAAACTTCGGGGACTATGAGGTCCTGGTCTTTGATACCTGGTGAGATGCGTCCTTGCTATAGCTGTGTCAGAAACTTGAACAACCATCGTGCGCTTTGCAGGAGTCTGTCGGTGAGCTTATCTCAGTAATTCCGCTCCAAGTGGATTCTCAAGGGGATTTTTTTTGCAGGCACAAGTCACAGTTGCAGTACGTCTATGATTGCGCTCATCATTGCATGATGCATCTCCTGACTATTTGTGTTACCCAGGGCGTCCTCACATTTTTCGTACAATTGTGAGTAAGCATGTCCTAACTTTGTGTGTACGCTGGGCTCATCGCGCGAATATGCGTTCGCAACAGATTCTTCGCTTTCCGTGTGTACCGATGTACGTACAAGGTGGCCATTGAATGGTAGCCGCGCTTTGATATTATTTGATCACAGTGAGCGGAAAGAAGGTCATCATTCCATCGGTAATCGTACGTCAGTGACACCATCCTCTCTGCAATGCCGCTCATTCTTGGTACCAGTGCTTCTTCAGCATCTTGCAGCTAGGTGCCCCTCTTCCTACAGCACGTTGGCACCCTGCTGATTATATATGGAATCCATCGACAGCATGCGCAATCGGTAAGTCTCAAACCTCAGACGTTGACACAGCTCACTATACTCATCGAGGTTCCAAATCAGCATATACTGTAGTTGGGTGCGCCTGCAACTCTTTTTCGGCCATAGATTCGTGCTCATGTGGGCTACGGAATATAGATATCGTATTCAGAAATTCAGCGCATCGGAGAAAGCAACGGTTGCGTCGTACCTGTTGATCTATTTGCCTTTTCATCTTCGGCTCAACTCCCACTTTGCAGCCATATACAACATGCTCTCTTGCAGCAGAGCTTGCCTGTGATTCTACCATTGCAGGCAGCATGATCTATTACTTACTACATAGTCGATCTCCCTTCTCCAAGTCAGTCCATTGGTCGGTATCGCCGCAGTCGGATAGCGCTGATCTTGAATCACTCGCAGAACTAACAAGGCTGTCAATCTGCTGATTACTTATGCGTTGAACACATGTGAGCGCGACGGTTCCCATCTCTGTGATAGCCTGCTTATGCAGGAGCACATGACAGGCTTGTTGACGAAGTAACTACTCTCGTCTATCCCGTTATTCATCTACTGATATGGCCGTCAGCATATTCACTATCATCACTCTTATCGCGGTAAGTAATGAGCAAGTTACATGGCAAGCAGCAGTCTGACGATTCGTCAATGCAGTGGCTCATCTGGACCAAAACCTTGATCTATGCCACATTCTATTTCGTGCTCACTCGGTGTAAGTGGTCGTGCTTCGGCTCCTTCATAATACTGGCTAGCGCTAACGCCAAGCCGCAGTGTATTCCTGCTCATTTATGTCCACGTTCGTCCATCATACGCGTAGTGTTTCGCGTCGCTGAGCTGAGCAATTATGTCGCAGGCTCAACTCACGCGACAATGTCCGTCAAGTCTTGAACTCCAACGATCGCGAATGGGTCAGTTTCCCCATGGTAGCGACAAGCACCAGCCACACAGATGACCGTGATGGATCTGTGCGAATGCCAGAAGCTACCAAGTGGCCTGATCCTTCCTCTGCATTGACGGCGTATAGCAACAACAGTCAAAAGCCAGGAGCTCTCACTGGAATGGACGAGGGCGTATCGGCCTGAGCCGTTGGGGTACCGACAAGCATGAACAACTTCCAATGCGGGAGGTTAGTATACTAGTATGATTATCTCACGGAAGGCATATAACTACCCAGATGTAGCTACCATGAGGATTTCTGGCGGAGAAGCGCAACGCGATAGGGCTGTTACCTAGAAGCTCGTGTGAACAGGGAAAGTCTGTAATTTGACGAGATGTTTCCCGTCTTTCATCAAACGTGGCTGAATGTTCAAACGTTCAACGTCAACGTTCTCCATATATCGCTGCTCCCCCGAGTCCGGCGGCCAAGGTAGAGTCGAAAGCGGCCTTGGATAAGACCTCTGGCACTTCCAGCGGCCAGCCTGTAATGGGGTCTGTTGTCGGACCCTCGCTAAACGATAACCGCCGACGAATTGGTCGTCTGATCGAGCGCCTCATCTGCTTACATTTCGCCGCGATTCGCGGACCCTCCTCTCCGGTTTCATTTGACAATCTCGACCGGCTTGTATTTGGATCTGAATGTTCACGGCAACGTGATTGACATGTCTCATATCGAAGCCGCACTCTCTGGATGTAGTAGTGGACCATGCATCAGTCCCTCACTTCTTGCAGTGCTCTCGTCTTCAAAGGCTGCCGGATCGTCCGAAGTAAGCCGGACTCAGGTTTTGATTTCTAGTTCAGAGGAGCGCAATTCATGATCCATTGTGAAGGTCACTTAGATTCGCATTAGATTCGCATTCCGATTACGCAAACGCCGCCGTTTGGTCGCGCGTCTAGCATTTCGGAACGGCATCACTGCCGTGTCAGCAAATTGGAATTACAATGAGCAGAATATATACAGGAGTCCGCCCTTTCACTCTTGATGGCTTCATCCCGTTGCTCATTCCGACTCAACATGTCTTGGTGGCCTCCTGGCATCCCTTTCCTACTCCGCTACGCAATGCCCTTGTTAGCTTATTCTGTGATAATCTCCCAAGTGTTGCGACTCTTATCCACTGCATGGGGGATTCAAATATCCAGTCTGTTCGTGTGGTGCACTATCGTTCTCAGTGCCCCTTCTTTCGTCGCAGCACGGATCATATTCAGGTATTGGTGGGTTGCCCGCTCAGCAAGGCACGCCGGTGCAATCCTGCCGCCTCGTTGGATCGGTAAATCTTTTGGGCACTTGGACGTCTTAGGCGAGATGATGCATTCGTTGGATCATGGATATCCTGGTGAGTTCCCATGCCTTCGTCTGGCTCCATGGCAGTACATATTTGTCGAGGCCTCTGAAGCCATTGGGAGATCTGGTTTCCGCGAACTCAATTTCTCGTCATCAGTGGCAATGGCTTCGTTTTCTTGGCGTAGAGATCCCGCTGCTCCTTAGAGATCTCAGTCCCCTGGCTGCTGCATTCCTCATAGTGCACAGAGTCGAGTATCACAGGGGATTTGCACCTCTTTCCTGTCCCTCGGGCATTCATCATATGACTTATATGTACCTGCACAATATTCGTGTTCAAGGTTCTTACATCATTAATGGCAGGCGACTTCGCTTGGCCAACGTTTGCGGAGCATGGACCGATAGCGCAGACAGACATCCTGTGGGATCGCATGGTCAGCCATGTTGCGATTCCCCTCATGACGTATTGCTGAGGTACGGACGGCGCCAACAGTATATTACGTGTGATCCTCAGGTTATAAAGGTTGGTGATCGCTAGACGTCGGCAGATTGTTTGATACTGACCATAGTCCTCTCTGTAGACTATCCTCGCTACGGATTTTGACAACTTCATCAAAGGTAACGTAATTACAGCTTCAAACCTTGCTTTCCGACGAACTTTACCAAATTTACCAGGAGAGATATTCTCTGGCTTCATGAGCCCTGTCTTGGGCACAGGAGTTTTCAACTCGGATGGTTCGTTCCATTATTAGGACCTGGCGTGTCTCTTCAAACTGACTGTTACCATGCGCTCGTAGGTGAAATGTGGAAGTCGGTATATGCACGTTCTCGAGGCTGCGGAGAATTATATGATTGACAGTCACATTTAGATGGCACCGTTCCATGACGCGTCCATTTTTCAGCAAGGATCGCATAAGCCACTTCGAATTGTTTGACAAACATTCCAGTGAGTGTCATCTGTTCATCAAGCTTTGAATCATAGTAACAGAGAGTGTCCGGCAGACGAGGCTTTGCGAAAGATGGCCGAGAGATTAAGCGAAGGTCACGCTGTTGATTTCCAGGTAAGCGCATTGTCTCATTCGGTATCTCTGTCTGGTCGCCTCAGGATTCATGGAATCTAGGACCTTGTCTCGCGGTTCACACTCGACTGCGCGTCTGAGTTCCTCTTTGGCTCCTGTGTGGACTTTTTGAGGTCACCCCTCCCCTTCTCGCACGATGCAACAGGTTTCCTCTCCTCAAGCTCTCTATCGCCCGATACAACGTCATCAGCCATAGCTTTCGCAAAGGCATTCCAGAGCGCTCAACACGTGTGCGCACAGCGCTCCTGGCGAGGATGGGTATGGCCGCTCTACGAAACGTTCGAAGATAAGACTTCGCGGCACATGCGCAGAGTGGATCAATTTTTTGATCCACTCATACGAGAGGCTTTGACCAGGCACAATAAACAGGGCTCCGGCACCATCGATCGTGAGGACGCAGACTCTGAGGATGGTACCTTTTTGGATAACTTGGTGCGGTACACAAGTGGTGCGTACAAGCCTCTCCACGTTACGGTAAATTGATTGTATATACATCAGATCCTGTCGTGCTACATGATGAGGTCCTCAATATTCTCCTAGCTGGAAGAGATACGGTGGGCTACATTTTCTCTGTATGTTTCTTTTGCTTCTGAATCCACAACGTATCGCAGACTGCATCTTCCCTTACATTCGCCGTTTACCTCCTTTGCATGTATCCAGCTGTATTGTCTCGTCTACGGCAAGAGATCCACGACGTGGTTGGCCTATCCCGACGTCCGACTTACGAGGACATAAGAGAAATGAAGTACCTGCGAGCTGTAATCAATGAGACATTGCGCTTATATCCCCCCGTGTATGTTCATCTGTTCTTTGTTTTAATTCGCATGCTCACCAACAGACAATGCACTACAGTCCGTTCAATATCCGGTCAGCATCTCTATACCCGGAAACTCCTCATACCTGCTAGCTTATAACGTGCACGATAACATAGTTACTCCGTCAAAGACTGTGTCATCCCTAATCCGGATCCCAAAGGACCGCCAATATTTGTTCCGGCCAATACGCCGTATGTCTCGCCTCCATTTCAATGATGACATTACAGCCTCTTATGATGCCTACAGTGTATCTTATTATCCCTTCGTCATGCATCGTAGCACTGCATACTGGGGCCCAGATGGTAATTAGTTCATTAGCACAAATTACGCGATATTGATTTCATGATCTAGCTATGGAATTTGACCCGGACCGTTTTCTTGATGATCGTCTGCAGAAATATCTTGTTCCGAACCCGTTCATATTCCTGCCATTCAACGCGGGTCCCAGAATTTGCCTAGGACAACAGGTTTGTTATATCATTGCCTTCAGTCGTGAACTCTCAACGACTCACAACTTTATCGCCCCTGTTGACGGTGACCCGCTCACGGTGTCGGCATTGTTGCATCTCAGTTCGCCTACAATGAGATATCGTTCTTCCTCATCAAACTGCTCCAGCGATTCGACACGATGGAGCTCGATCTTGAAGCGCAACCTCCAGTGTCACGTCCACCGGCTGAGTGGGCGGGAGCATGGGGGCGTAAAAACGTGGAGAAGATCTGGCCCAAGGTACATTTGACCATGTATGCAAATGTAAGTCTGCGTGTTGAGAATTGTGATGTGGATTTGACGATCTCTGTTTACACATATAGGGAGGATTGTGGGTCAGAATGACGGCATCTGGGAAGGAGGATGCGTGACTAAAGAGTGAAAACACGTCCACTGAAGTTTGAAATTCTGTTTAAGTGTAGCTGTTCGCAGCACAATGTATCAGCAAAGATGAGTTGAATGGATACTGACCTTTGAGAGGAATTTGATGGTTTCTATTCGTAAATGTGCCACATTGAATCGCGCGCCTCATCCTCCGTCTTTGAGCTGTTGCAAGAGCCTTAGCCTATCCGACTGTATGAGCCTTAGCTGACTTGCGAGGAACATGTCCAAACGATGGAGCTCTCTCAAACTGCGAGTGTCCAATGCTATTGACAAAATGATAGCGCAGCAGTCGGCCATGCCCACATTCATTCCTATGCTGAATGATGTTAAATTGACAGACCCCCGTGAAATAAACAGCTAGGCCTACTCTGAGAATGTTTGATAACGAGAGCACTCACCCTCACTATCGATCTTGCGACCGGTCCTGCAACTGAAACTGCACGATGTTACTACCAGGTCGATCTGATGATCCTGAATGCTCGCGTTGTGGGTATATGGGATGCTTACACGACATTTAACGGATTCTGCCTTCTATGATGGCAAACATGTCACTGTCCTCGACGGAAGTATTCGGACAGCGGAGCGCCGGGGGCCTCGAGGTTTGACAACATTTACTGGGTTAGCAACAATCCTGGCGTTTGATTTCAATACGTTGGCAACGCTACCTAGCTATTGGATTGTTCATGACGTGAATATAGTTACACTCTCGCTCGCCAATCGAGCATCTTCTCTAACCTGAAGCCTGTCTTAATCACACATTTCATCTACACAAATTGCCTGTTGCGTGTATATGCCTCCATACCACGAAAGACATTGGAAATGCTACATATTGGCCAGTTCAATTTCCTCCGTGATGAGAACAGCCTCTGCAGACGGTGAGATGACGTCGAATCGTGAACGATCGCCCATAGCTAATTCTACATAATTTGACTTCAAGAATAATCTGAATGAAATGGCAGTGTCGAGAGACCACACGATACTATCACACGTGTGAAAATCGACAGCCAATATTAATGGTCAAGACTTACAGAATCGCAACGAAAGTTTGTGCCGCCTAATTATGCATTCCGTCAGTGTCTTTACGAGGATGAGATGGTTCATTAACTTACGCCACTGGCAATGCTCTGAACAAAGTTAGTCATGCGAAGAACTATAGCCGGAAGTCAACATGGCTACATTTTCATGTAGTTGATAGACTTACGAAACTGCATCTGGTGACATCGACGGTCAGGATAACGATTGACATACGCGAAGAGGACTTACGATGAATATCGCAGTGCCGTCACGCTGGAGATTACTGATAATCTCATGATCATGTCGACGAGGTCGGTTCAAGGCATTCAGAACCAATAATGCGAACACAAAAATATCGTACAAGAGCTTGTGTACAGTGAGTTAATGAAGTCTCGGGTTTGACGCTGACAAGACGTACCACCCCTCCCCATACTCCAGCGACAAAGACATCTTTCTCTGAGAAGTAACACGTACGGAGAAGGCTCGAATACCGCATTCTCGCTGAAGGATACAAAACACCAATGAAATCCTGCAGATAATTTGAATATGGAGGATCGTTACTGACCTGAAGATTCCCTTATAGTGAGTGCATCGAAAGCGATGCTTATTCCGTAGCAAAGTAGGAGGCCAATGATGAGAGCTGCTTTGATGGACCTTCTGTTATCCCAAAGCCTGACCACGCGCAATAGCAAAATGACTGGGATCACGAG